TACGCCTCGCAAGCTCAGCGTGACGTTTGTCAGGCAGTTTGCATTCCAGTATTTGTTCAAAACATATTAAACAAAATTGCCTATTGGCAGGAAGCGAGTACTTCAAGGATATGAAATGGCAAGACAACGCGCACTCACTCGGACACACTGCGTTCTTTTTCAGTCGGGGGTAACGCACCCGAGGTGAGAGGTACGACAACGATAGCCGGCACACGCAACCGGCGAACCGCATCGTCCCCCGCAAAAGTGAGCCGCTTTCCATCACATCATTGGCAAAGCTCTGCCAACAAGTCCGCTTCACATCTCACCGCCTTGGCAATGGCATCAGCCAGGGGGGATCGTAAGTCTTCGAAATAAGCATCGAAAGAACGTGTGCGGATACCGCCACATCGCCCTTATCCAAGACCTTGAAGCGCATCATGGCCTCCTCCAGAGCACCTCGCGACGGCAAGTCCGACGGATTGGACTTCGAGGGTACTCTTTCGTACCACAACGAAGTCTCAAGAATGGCCTCAAGCAAAGCCACCAGACAGATTATGCTCGACATGCACAGCGATGGAGACGTACGCCGAATGAAGCCATATCGCGCAGCATCGTTGTCGATGTACACGGATGCAACGACGTCGCAGCACTCCTCTCAAGCCGTAAAGAACAAGAGCAACCACGAAGGCTTCCACTTCACAGATTATCTGCTCCCCAGCATGCAGTCTCCAATGGTTGAAAGCGCTGCCCACTGCACCATGAAACATCCAGCGAGCTCCGCAAAGCGGGTCTAGGAGGATCGCCCCCCAGGTCGCCGCTCCTGCCTCATATGCACCATCGGTGTAAAGGACCATCGGCGGCGTCACGCGGGCCACCAAAGTCCTCGGCCTAGCCTAGCCGCTTTCAAGACATCCAGCGCAAGCAATGCAGCAGCTCGAAGCTCATCTCCAAATGTACGGCCCCTGGCAAGGGCCTTCGAGAACATCCGGACAGCGGGTTTGAGCTGGAACCCCAGCACGTGGCCGCCCGCGAAGTTCAGCAAACCATGGAGGCTAGCCAGCTGTGAACCAAATGCGAGTGGGACTCAAAGCTCTGGTTGACAGATGAAGCACTGAAGTCATCGATGACGCGAACTTTGCCATCCTCGCCCTGTCTCAAGAGAAAACGAGGCGACAAGGACCAGCATTGGCAGCCCAAGAAGTCGCTGACCTCCTCAACAGAAGTGAAAGGCCCCAGCAGGAAACCGGCCTCAATCTCCTGAGTGGTCTCATCAATCAAGGCAGCAGAATCGGCCGGATCTGAAGGAGGACGTCGACGCATGGTTTCTTCACGCCTTATCTGAGCCTGGGCATCCAGCTGATCCGGGTGAATATGCATAGGTCGACGACGCTCAGGGGGCTCCACACCCCCAAGCTCGACACCCGAAACCAGGGAGTCAACTACTGAGAGATCCCCAAACCCAGTCTCCTCTATGAGCTCACTCTAGTGACCTCCTCCACGTCAGGATGCATACCCCGACGCAACTCAGCCTCCTGGGCCTCGAGCTCCTTGAGACGGGAGTTCAGTTGGTTCAATGCCTGCAGGCGCAGCTTCGACACTGCGAGCGGCCCCTCAGTGCAGAGCTTGAAGATGTTCCGGCGCACGGCATCGGGAACCTGGTGTGCCGACTCTGAAGGAGACTCCAAACCAGAGGCCAGTTGTATATGCTGCTCCATGGTATGATAGACACCCACAATGTCCGAAGAGCCACCAGCATGCCGCTTTGCAACCTGATCTCCGTAAGTGCCGGAGCGAGAAGAACTACCCTGATCACCATGCATGCCAGAGCTTGAAGAACTACCCTGATCACCGCGCATGCCAGAGCTCGAAGAACTATCCTGATCACCGCGCTTGGTCTGATCTCCAAGTGCAGAAGGATATCCAACGGTTTCCCCCACAGGGTCAGAGCTCTCCGAAAATGAACCCCCGAAGGAAGAGAGCTTAAGCACCTTGTAGTCACGATGAGGCGGCACCTGGGAGAGGGGAGCCTGGTACTCGAACTCCGGGATGAGCGCAGCAGCGTATCGAGACTGGTGCCCAGCGGGGGCACGCACTTGCGCGCGAAGCTCACGAGCGCGCCACTGCTCAGCCTTGGCACTCGGGCAGGCACCGGCAGCTGCTACCAAAAAGTCGCACAGCTGCTGAGGGTAAGCCGCCTCATCCTTGGTTTTGAACTGCCAGCCCTGACCCAGCCGGACAGGGGCCCAGCTCAAATGCTGGTGTTTGCCATCACAAGCACGCGCAAGACCTTGAAAAGCCTGAGTTGTGCCTTTGATGCGAGTGGCCTTGGCACGACCTGATCCAAACATGCATGTGTCAAAATCAAAATCCTGCAAGTCGAAGTACCATTTGCGGAAAGAGGCAGGCCCACGCTTCTTGACGAGAGCAGCCAGCAGCGGCCACAACCAGCTCCGCACCGGGTTTTCAATGGTGACAAGAGCGCCACGGCTGAATGCAAGAAAGAGAACCTCAACAGCCTGCACATACACCTGGTTTGCAGCAGTGACTTGCTCCTGCTCAGCTGACCGGAGACCGGGCTTACCGAAGAGGTTGTCTGCGTCACGCAAAGGCCGAGGTGCATTCGGCAAAGGCCTCTCCCGGGCCCTTGAACAAGTGCCACAGGGGAGACCAAAATGGTACCAAGCAACATTAGCCCGACTGGCGAAGGAAGCCAGCAGCACGGAACTCGAAGATTGGCGCATATCCAAGATGAACAAAGGCGTATGGGCATGAAAGCGGCAGGAAGGCTGATCGATGGGCAGTGCATTCCACCCGGCGCTCAAAGCAGTTGCAGACAAGACAGCCGAGCCGGCGCACACCTCAACAAGCCACGGAACCTGCGCCTGGTCAGCAAGAGGCAACGCGGCGGTACTAGGGCCATCCGAAGAGGGCCGACAGAAGAGTTCTCTCGGCTCCTGAATGTGCTGGCTCTCAAGGGCCTGTACGGTTGGCAAGGGAAAGCCCAAGGAGCGCAGGATGCGGCGATCGGCTGACCCCAAATGCACAGCCCCAAGAAGACTGAAGAGAACAAGCACGACCCTCCTACCCTGAGCCTCAGAAGTGGAGTGTTGGTGCGCGCGGGCACAGAAAGACACAGGTCCTTGGCACACGCGGAGGCGCACCTGGCTTTTGGCATGGACCATGATGTCACCCCCAGCAAAGGAGCTGAGGGGAACAACCACGTTAGGCAAGAAAGCATTCTGCGTGTCAACATGCTCCTTGGTACAAATGCGGTCCAAGATGACAAAACTTGTGTAATGATGTGATGGGACAGCCCTGGAAGCAAAATGATTGATCACCTTGAGTGTCTTCGGAAAAAGGTGGCAGGCCTTCCTCAGACCAACCTTAATTCGGCAATAGACGCCTCCGGAAAATGAAACCCCGCTGACATCTCGGTCACTAGTGTCCTTTGGCAAAAGATCGAAGAGCTCAAGAATCTTGGACTCGGAAAAATCATGATTGTCCAGGCAAGCTTGAGCAAAGTCCTCAGGGCAAGAGGCCGCGGCCGACAAAACCACCGCCTCAGTTGGCTCGCTGGGAGCCGCTGCTTGCTGGCTGGATTGACTGGCAGTCGCGAGGGAGGCCAGCAACTCTCCCGCTCCATCCCGTCAATGCGAGCACTCTATGTAAGGCCGCGACTCCTTGCAACCCTTGTAGTAACACACATGTTTGCCAAAACGACAGCTTTTGCGCTTCTGAAACCTGCAAATGCCCTTGTTGTAGAACGGGCAAATGAATCGTCCTTCAGCATTCTTGGCCTCGCAGTTCGGAGGAAGGCTTGCCAGCAGCTCCTTCAGGGAGACATTGGCAGTCGAGTCGCCCTCGGTCTGCTTCCCCTTTCCATTCTTTCCCTTGCCGTTCTTCTTGGGATTTCCCTTGCCCGGGCCCTTGCCTGGCCCGTCTGTTGAAGCAAAGCTAGGGGCATGCTGGCTGGCAGGCACCGGCAAAGGCGTCATGCAGGCAGTGACAAGTGGATCCAAGCTCAGCTTCTTAAGAAGAGAATCCAAAGGGGGGTCCAGGCCTGTCCCAACTGCGATGTTCCCTCGGGACTCCTGAGACATGATCTGCCACAGCTTGGCATCTGCGGAAAGGACCTGCTGAACAGTCACATACCTGTATCCAGCAGGCGGAGATTCAAGCAGGGCCTGAAACATCTTGTTGCTCCACTCTTCAAGCTGCACGAATGAAGCGAGCCCCACTTGATCGAACGCTAGCGCTCTCCTAAGGAAGCACTGGCGCAGGCGTAGCTCCCCCGAAGTATCGCACCTCAGGTCACTCGCCTGATTCGTCATCTTGCTGTTGCCATCGCTGTCCAAACTGAGCCGACTCTCACTCTTTATCCCCATAATCTCATCTTGCCTGCTGACACACTTCTCAGGAGGGATGTGTGAGATTAGGCCCTGATCCAACATGGATTGAACCTTTGTCCACCAGGGCATGGCCGGGCTCAGTCCGAACATCAAGAACCAAACCTTTAAGTTCATCCCTCTGGCGCTTCAGCCTCATGAGGCGCTCCGCCATGGGCATTTCCCGGGGCTGACTGTCAGGGGTTTTCTGAACCTGCTGCTGCAAGTCCAGCATGGCATGGGTATGCGACTCATACCAAAGCCTGCGCACCGTCGGCACTTCCTTGGCCGGGACATCCTTCCCAGTCAGGCCCTTGATTGCTTGAAGCAGCGCGGTGTCATCTCCAGAGTTCGGCTGAATGGCACAAATGAATGCCAGCTTGCCGAAGGTATCAATTCCAGCCTTGGTGAACTCAGAGAGAAGATCCTCAGCCAGCCCATACTTCCGCGCACGATCCTTGAAGTGCGCCGAGGACTCCAGCCCCGCCATTTCCCTTTCACAGCTAGCCCTGTGCTTGATCAGCAAACAGTCTCGCGCGGGGAAACTCTCAGTTGCAGCTCAAACGAGAGATCAGCTTTATCATGCACAAAAGCGCCACACACGAGCAACCACAGCTCGTCCTGTTTGGGTGGCAGCGATCACAGCTGCCGTCGCCAATGCTAGCAAACGAAGAGCGCACAGCAAACTCTTATGTTGAATAGCAGCACCAACCACATCAGAGCAAGCTCAGCTCTGATGCAGCACCGCGGCGAGGTCAGCCGGGTATCTCAATCGAGCAATCTCGGCCCGACGCTGCTGGGTGCAATGTCTCCACAATGGTCCCTCGCCCTTCGAGGCGGACTCTTTCTTTTCAGCCAGGCCACATGTCTCCGATCAACTTCAGGCACCGCTATCCACAGCGGCGCACTGTTGACATACATGGTTCTGTGCCTCGCCCTGGGACATGAGTCTCATGTTGGCGGTAACAGGTCGCCCACACTTGAATTTCCCCAGGCGATGCCCCACAGTGCACCACCCCTGTGAGGATGTGCATGAAAACATTACCAACAAAAGTCGCCTCGACACGGGGCCGCACCGCATCGGGCGCGGAAGGCAAATTAAGAGCCTCCAAGCCTTTAAGAAGCTCTGTGTCAGAAAGGTCTGAGCCCTCACTCTCAAGATCCGGCGCCTTATCATTGCCGTCAACGAGGACAGGCTGCGTCTCCAGAAGGTGGGAGATCAGGGGCCTTCTGCAATGCAAGCGCCACCCTCTGTGCTTGCAGCAGATCAGACGAGAAGGCACCGCTGACGATGGCCCTCACGACGCGCCCAACTTTCACCATGATCTCAGCCATGGTGTCTCTGCTGTACAGAAAAGCCATTCCAAGCTTGGGATGCGCCGCTGCAGCCACGAATCCATGCTGCGCTCCAGCCTGCACAAGAGTGCGTCCAAGCGCCAGCAGAGACAGCATCCGAGTCAATTCTTGGCGCGTGTGCCGTTCCTGTCTCAAGGATCACTACAGCCCCCCGAAGAGTCGATGTTGACATTCTTGGCTCTGGCAGCATCGGAAAATCTCGAGGAAGCATAAATGCAAAACAACAAGAACCTTGCAATGCAAGCTTGGACATGATCTCGAGTGTTTATCACGAACTTCTCCAGAGCACATATCATAAGAAGAGGTGATGTCTGCCATAGAGACCGCTTGAGCTTGAGCTCCATTGATGAGACAATACTTGAAATCCGAGCAGAGATTGGATTGTTCAAATAGGCTCTGTGTGGTACACAAACAATCTCAACATCTGGACAAAAAGAATCTGCATCGGACTGGCGCCTGAGTGTCTGAGAAACGACACAAATTATGGATCTGAGCCTCCAAAAAGCTTGATCTTGTTGCAAACGGCGCACTCAGCAAAACGTGTGAAATCAGATGCACGCTTCAGCAATGTTCCGAGTCTTACCCGCAAAGACATGTTCAATCAACCTCGAAAGAGCAACAAGAGATCTACCGAGTGCGGAATCCTCAGAATGGAAGAGAACAATTGATCTTATCTTCTTGAAGGCAGCCAGCAGCATCTAATCATCAGTCTTTTCAAAGCGAGCAGCGAGCAGCCGCCTGGTTTCGAAAGTGTTTGCGCAGTCCAAGTCCAAGGTAAGACGCCAAGTCGAAGTTGATGGCACCCGCATAGTCTTTGTAGAGATGAAAAACTCTGAATTGTACCGTGGAGTAACTTCAACACAAAGCCCAAGGGCTTAAGGGAGTGGGGATAGGGATAGGGAAGCATCAAGATGCAAAGACGCCACCTTCGTT